CCCCCCCCCCCCCCGCGGGGGGTTTTTTATGGGATTGGGGGGTGGGGGCGGGGGGGGCGGATTTGGGGCCCCCCTGCCCCCCCCCACCGACACTAACAAGTCTCGAGCTCTTTGTAGCGGGGCGGGGGTGGGGGGGCCTTATTTTATTGTATTATGATTTTTTTTATTATTATTAAACTTTGGAGGTTAAAAGGGGGCTGGAGGTTATTGGGGGGGGTTTTGGGGGAGAGGTTTGGGTTTGTGGGGGGGTTGGGGTGATTGAAGGGCTCTGGATTTCAGGGGTAGTGTGGGGTTGGGATTTTGGGGTTTGGGATTTTGGGGGTTTCGGGATTTGGGGGTTTCAGAATTTTGGGGGTTTCGGGATTTTGGGGTTTGGGAATTTTGGGGGTTTCAGGATTTTGGGGTTTCAGAATTTTGGGGGTTTCAGGATTTTGGGGTTTGGGAATTTTGGGGGTTTCAGGATTTTGGGGTTTGGGAATTTTGGGGGTTTCAGGATTTTGGGGTTTGGGAATTTTGGGGGTTTCAGAATTTTGGGGGTTTCAGGATTTTGGGGTTTCAGAATTTTGGGGTTTCAGGATTTTGGGGGTTTCGGGATTTCGGGGGTTCACCCCCCCCGCCCCCCCAGGCGCTCGCGGTGCCGCCTCCCATTGGCCGCCGGCTCCACCAATGGGCGCGCGGGGGGGGCGGAGCCTGGGCGAGCGCGGGAATCCCGCTCGGAGCCCCAGAGCGAGCCCCGGTCCTGAGGGGAAAACTCCGTCCCTGAGGTGGAAAGTGCGCTTTCGTGAGGAAAAATTACCTCTCCTGAGGTAAAAACCCACTTGTCTGAGGTAAAACCTTCCCCCCTTAGGTAAAAGACCCCTTTCCGGAGGCAAAATCCCCCATTCTTAAGATGCTACATGTTCTTTCATGAACTAAAACCCAGTTCCGTGAGGCAAAATGTACCCTTCCTTGGGTAAAAAACCCCTTTCTGAGGTAAAATTCCCTTCCTTGAGGTGAAAAATGGTCTTTCCTGCAGTTAAACCCTGTCTTATGGGGTATATTTTACCTTTTCGAAAGTAAAACATTCACCCTTTTAGGTAAAACCCTTGTCTCTGAGGTAAAATTTACCTTTTGTGAAGTAAAATCCCCCTCTCTCAGGTAAGACCCCTATAGTGAGGTAAAATTCACTTTTTCTCAGATTAAAAAATCTTTTTTCCTGATTTAAACTCCACTCCATGAGGTAAAATCCCCCTCTGTGTTAATATTCCTCTATTTGTAGTAGAACTCTCTTGCTTGAGATAAATTCTGGTTTTTTGGAGATAAACCCCTATTTTTTCAGATAAAATCCCCATTTCTGAGGTGAAAATTCCTCTTTCATCAGGGAAACAAACACCTCCTTTGTAATGTAAAGTTTTATCTTTTCTGAGGTGACAAAATCCTTTTCCTGATGTAAAATCTCCCTCTTCTTTTTTTTCTTTTTGACAGTCCCTCCTTTTTGGGTGTAAAACTCCCTTTTCCTGAGGCAAAACTCCTTTCCTTGGAGTAAAAACTTCCTTCTTTTTTAGGCAAAACTTTTTTAAAAGGATTTTTTGAGGTAATTACCTCTTTTCAAGAGGGAATATTCCTTTTTGAGAACAATTCACCATCCCCGGGAGGTAAATGTCTCTTTTCCTGAGATAAAACTACCCCAACTTTTTTTTTTTTTCCTTTTAGTATTTTTTTTCCAGTGAAAAAACTCACATTTTAAGAAAATCCCTTTTCCACCCTTTTAAAATACTTCCTTTCATTGCAGGAAAATTTTTTTTTTTTTGTAGGGAAACATGGTTGTTTTGTTTTTCTTGAGGGAAACCCTCTCTATTGAGTAAAAACTGACCTTTTTTGAGGTAAACATCCCTTTTCCTGAGGAAAAACCTCTGCTGAGCAGCAAATTTGAGGCAAATAAGCTTTTTATAGAGGAAAACACCTATTTTTTTTTATTTTTTTGAGGCAACTCCCCCTCCTTTCTTTATAAATCCTTTTTTTTTTAATGTAACTCTTTTTTCTAAATTGAGGCAAAATCCCTCCTGTTTTGAGTGAAAACATCCTTTTTGAGGAAAAAAGGGCATTTTGAGGTTTGGGCATGTGTGGTTGGGTGGGTTTTCTGAGGAAAAACTTCGAGGTAAATACTCCTTTTCCTGAGGGAAAAATCCCCCTTCCTGAGGCAAATACCCCTTTTCCAGGGGAAACCCTTCCTTGTGTGAGGAAAAAAGTGAAAACCTTTTTGATAAAAATCCCTTTTCTTCCTGAGGTAACACCGCTCCCACACGGGCCGGGGTCGGCCCCGGGTTCTAAAGCCCGCGCGCGGTGCCGGGTTCCAGAGGCGGCCTCGGCTTCCAGAGCCGGGCCCGGTGTGCCGGGTTC